CGGTATATCGACCAAGTTCTTCGACCATATATTGTTCCACATCAAAACCACACATTCCAGCATGACAACGCATGTACTCATACTGCAAGAGTTACGAGGGGCTTCCTACAGCAGAACAACATAATGATTATGCCTTGGCCCGCTCTTAGTCCGGACTTAAACCCCATAGAACATTTGTGGGACGAAATTCAAAGAAAACTGAATAACGTCCGTCCAAGACCAACAACTGCTTTGGAACTCCAGGCATCTTTTCTGCAGGTATGGGCTAGCATTCCTATGAACTTCATCAACCGTCTGATTCATTCCATGTACAGGAGATGCCGGGCCGTAATCAACGCTAATGGAGGACACATGCTACTGACTGGTGACCTGTATTTATTGATCTGGTGATATTGTGGTGAAAAACTTTATCAATAAACAGTGAATGAATTGTAATGATGCGAATTTGTGCAATAACTTTGGTTTGTATACGTTCATTCAATAAAAATATGGCATTCATTCTTGTATCATTTTTGCCTCTAATTACTGCGACGTTTCCTTTGCGGTTCAGTGTATTATAAAATTAGTGAAACATTAAGCTTGTAATAATGCTTCACTCATGGGCCAGAAAAATAACTGGACAAGATAAGGTTAATTCTTTTATCTCTCAGTCTTTCAATTTTAGGGAATATTTTTCTTGTTTGAGTAAATTTGCGTGAATTTCAATACATATATGTAACATTTTGTTCACTTTGTAGAAAATAATGTTTTATTAAAAATTACTGCCTTTTTCCCACAATTTTTCAACATTTGAATGAAAACTTCTCTATGATTTGATAAGGAATCTGTAACATGACACAGAAAAGACATACAATTTTAACCTGTTACAAGTAATAAAAAATGTCCATTAAAAATCTAAAAAATTAAATTATGGCTACCTATACCATCTATTATTTAGCATAATATTTATTGATTTTCTTTTGCTAAATGGGCCTAGCATGTCTAGTAGTTACTTTGCCAGACTGTGTATTGGAAGAGTTAAGGCTCAATCTGCTATGTTGCTGAATGCATTCTATACTTAGAGTTATGACCATGTTTTAAAATTAACTGTTGATTCTATTGATTGGTTCGAGAGCTATACAAATCCCTTGAGGTAGAAGGTGCCATTGTCTGGCTGCCTTCCTTCTGGTCACTAGTTCTAAATTAGGGATGGCTATACTGAATCTTTGTCTCTGACCTTGCTATTTATCCTATATGTGCATAAGGTGTCACTCAGGTTGAAAATACCAATACTTTAGCTAAATGCCATTGACTGGCTGCCTTCCTTCTGGTCGTTAGTTCTAAATTAGTAATGGCTATACTGAATTTTTGTCTACATTTACTGTTCTAGAGTGAGAATTAATTGTAAACATTCTGTGTGTTCATCTAAAATTTTTCAAGATGGAAAAATTCTTAGAGAAATTCCATTTATCTCACAACTGGATCTAAAAGATATACCATGTTTTGTTAATCTGATTCATAGCAGTGTAAAATGTATTAATGGTAAATTTTTGAATTCCAGGTATAATAATTTGGAATTATAAATATATAAAAATAGGTGAAAATTTTAAGCATCTATTATCTTTTAAGTTAAATCTCTGTTATATTTAGTTGTTTACAATTTAATCTATGCGGATTCTTCATTGGCTACAACTTCCTTAATGGATTAAAAGGATGATATTTTACCCATTCGTGGTGTTCTTCAGAATTATTATTATTTAAATATTTGAATAATAAAGTTTGTACTTAAACATGAAGAGTTGTCACAATTTAACAATGTTATTATAAACTCTTAATATATCTGTTGAGTGTCAACAGTTTCTTAATTCTTATTGGCAAATGTTAAATTTAATTTATCAAAAAAGGTTTATTATATCCCTTACTTTGTTAAATAACAAATTTTTTAATGTGTTAAATGACTTGACCTTTGCTTTGTTCACAATTAACAGCTTAGTCACATTTTGAAGCTTTAATAATGAAACTACATATTAATTAAAGATAATACAGAACTTGGGATCTGCATTACTTTGTATACTGAGGCAGAAAAAAAATTTTAATATGTTATTAGCTCTGCTTTCTTCTGTTTTAGGTTATGGGTCTCAGCCTCCTCCAACTATTTTATAAACAGACTGGATGCTTTGAAAGCAGCTCTGCAACTGTCTTCTCTAACTTCACACACTAACATTTATTCCTTATGGACAACTGGATATTTTTACAGCAACTATCCAACTGTCTTATTTTTTATTCTAGCATTCTTTAGACATATTGGATATTTTTGGCAATGTCTCAATGCCTTTTAGTTTACATTTTATTATTCTGTAGATGTACTTGATGGTTTTTACTCTTATTTTAAACTAAGCATTATGTAAACATACTTTTATTAACCACAACTGTCCCACTGTCTTCTCTTACTTCACATTCTAGCATTCTATAAACATACTTGATTGTTTTACAGCAACTGCTGTTTTTTTTTATTTTAAGATTCTTTACACCACTATTTTATACACAAATTTGATGTTTTGAAAGCAACTTGTCCACTTGTGTTTTCTTACAGTAGCTACCTACCTTATTTCACACACTGGTACATATAAAAACTTTAGACAAACTGGTTATTCTTACAGCAGCCATCCAACTATCTGGTTTCACATTAATATTCTGATTAAAAATAGTTTACTGTAAAGTGTGGTTAGTTTTACTGGTATCAGTATTAGGACTGGTTTGTTTTTACAAATATCTCATTGTTGCAATTTAACTGGTGCTTTTTATCTTGCTTTTTTACTAAAAAATGTAATTTTTAAAAACCAAAGTCTATTCACTCCTTTGTTTTATCTTAAAGAGATTAACTGAAATAATACTCTTAATTTGAGACATCATTATAGAAATTATAAAACTGATTATACTGGTGATCCTCATTGTATTATTTCTAAATATACAATATAAAAGTGAAAGAAATAATGTGAAGCCTTTTATGTAAATTTCATTGCTGAAAGGAAATATATTTTTCATTTTTTTGAACTTAGCACTCATAAGCAAAAAGTATATTATAAAAAAACACAGTCATGTAAGAAAATAGTAAAACTCAGGCAGAAAAATTAAATAACCCACCAGGTGACTAGACTTTTTTTTTATTTGCCAGGTTACTAGGCAACTGTTTTTACTAAGACCACTTAATAAAATAATTATTTTTCACAGGTCATTTAATGAAGACGATGTTTATCAGTTAACTCATAACTATTTGTTAGTTATTCTAAACAACAGTATTCTTACCACTAGTTTGTGAATTAAAAAAAAAAATCCACCTACATGTGCCTGAGAACTAAGTAATTAACTTTTCATGACAGAAGATACACACTTATTTTGGTATTTTAATTTGAATAGTATATGCTGTATAACTGAAATTTATTTTATTACTTTATTGGTTAATGTTTAGAGCTGTCATTTTGTTTATCATTATGTTTTGTTTTTCTCCTGAAGAGGCAATAAACTGAAGATACTACAAGGAGTGCTGAAAACTTCAGATGGTTAATATAAGACTGACTTCACTTTTTTTTTTTACTTATTAAATAATAAAGTTGAGAAATTCAGTACTATGTGCAGTTTTGCTTGTCTGTTGTATAATACATTTGGTGATGTATTTGAGACACACTTTTTTTTATATACAATTGGTTTAATAGTTTAATCATACATCAAAATAGTAGGAAAAGCTTCAAAAGTAAGTCTTTATTAGCTTGTTTTGTATGTTAAACTGTTAATGAAGTCACTATATCTAAAAAATTTCTATATGATAGTGTTTATAAAATATCTTTGTAAGTTAAAAAGATGATTGTTTGCAATTGGTATTCATTGTAAAATTTTTCTTATGTGACAAATATTGTTAGGTAGTATTAGGCTTACGACAACCTTAGGAGAAAAAGGTGGAAGAAATGGAATATATTATATTGTAACATTTTCCAATTTTTAGATTTCTTGAAACCATTACATTCTTTGTATGTTAAGTCTTTTGAATGCTCTTGAGCCTTTTCAGTCATGTTTAATATTGGAGAGTTAAATTTTTGGTGAACCATGATGCCTTGACTAGTGAGAAATTTGTATAGAAATTGCATTCCAGTTTAACATCTTCGTTTAAGTGCTTTTTTTTTGCCAGTTTTATTAATTAACTCTTTTTTTTTGGCTTTTTCATCTATGAATAAAATTGAAAATACTAAAAGAATTGTCTTACCTATTAAAATGCAATTGAGTTTGAAGTAAGAAAATAACAACATTGTAACACTTAACATTTCTTATAAATTGGAAATATTAATTGTAACTTTATAATTTTTATTACTTAGTTTATTTTTTAGTTTAAAATAAAATTTATGCATAAAATGTATTAAATGTTCGATTGCTGTATACGATAAAATGATATATTTATTTGTAGATTGGGACTTGCATCCTCTTTATAAACTAAAGATATTGATGAAAACAAGCTCTTTTCACAATATTTTTTTTCATATTAGCTAGAATTGGTTTTGATCAATTGAGGTTTTTTTTGCTTGACATGCTAGTTATGTAGATATTGTCCTAGATTTATATATAGACACACACACTTCATGTCTACATATATATATAGAATTATCATTGTGTGGCTTCATGAGTGTTCAGTTTGGGCGTATGATATTTAGTGTCGGGGATTTCATGAAACTTGACTTTTTTGTACATTTTCGTGTATAATATCATACTCAAATTAAACCTGATAATAAAACTGTTAGAAACTTGTATGTGCATATTATTATTATTTCTCTAGATTTTTATACATTTACTTATTTTCGAAAATTTATTAATGGAAAACATTTTTCAGTGTCTATCATATCTCCTGTGCAGGCACTTGCGATGGAAATTATGTTTAACTAATTATCAAATAAAAAACCTTAAAAATAATTTTTGCATGCCGAAAAGTATGATGAAAAACTACATATTTTAATATTTTTTTTCACATTCTACACACTGAATTGGATTTTTAAGAATTTTCTAATGCCACTGTTATAGGTCCATGAAAACGGTAGTAACTGAAAACTTATCCTTAATGGTAGTTATGTTTTTTTTTAAGTCACTCAGTGGCCCAATGGTAAGCTTCTTGGTTTTATATCACTACAATCTGGAGCTTGATCCCTTCTGTGGACATAGCTGAGGTAGCCCATTCCGTAGTTTTACAACTAAACAAATTAGATTTTTGGAGTCCAAAGCTGAACTATATAAATAAATACGTGTTTTATTACTTTCACTGATCAATTTCCGAAATATTTTTTCAAAGCCTAAATTATAAAAAAATTCTATTTTAGGTCAGTAAACTGTTCATACGTAGAGCTTTACTTTTTCTAACATTTTAAAAATTTTACAAAAATAAATTTATGAAAGATAAATGTAAGCATATTGTATTACAAGGATTAGAAAAACAAATTATATTAAAAATAATAATTAACAGTTTTAATGAATATCATACCTAGGTCGTCAAGAAATTAATGTGTGTTTTAAAACACTTTCATTAACCACCCTCAAAAAATGTACATCATGTATAATGGTTAAACGAACCACCTAAACGTCACGTTAGTGTAGCCTACATAATGTGTAAAATTTGGTATTCTCTAATCCCATATAGTGATGGCACACGACGAGACACACATTCAGCATGTAATGCTGTTTGAATACAAGAAGGAGAACAACGCCTTTTTAGCCACAAAGAATATCAAAGAAGTTTATGAAAATGTTTTGAACGTTCGTAAGTATCGACGATGTTTCAGCAAATTTCGTTCAGGTGACTTTAGCCTTAAAACTGTGATGGCAGGGTCCGACATGTTGGAATTGATATTGATGCTCTGAAGATGCTTGTTGAGTCAAATCCAAGGCAACACACTCGTGAAATGGCTCTGAAATTGCATGTCTCTCATGAAACAGTACGTAAACATCTAAGGAATATGAGAAAACTCCATA